GTCTGCTCAAAAACAGCAAAAGTTGGAGCTTCCTCTCCAGGTGCATTGAAAAGATGAGCTACTTTGTCCTGCCTCCGACCACAAATGCTGTATATCAAAGCACATTTTTGATGAACACCATTTTCTATTCCATTCAAGACCATCCAAAGCTGGAAAGTATGTCAAAGGTTTTGAAAACTACCACTATTTCCTTCATCTTAATTAAAGATTGACACACTTTGAAGTGCATTTCAGAGCTCTCTTCTTATATCTTGCTGATTATCTACAGCCATGATTCAGCTTGATTATTCCAGACCAATCCCCTTATTTAATTCTCAGTTTATCAATTTAAAATATTCCACCGCTGCCACCAAAATGTAAAGTTGAGACCAATCTAACTCTAGTTCAAGTTTCCTCCTTTTGGCACTTCTATTCCTATCTTTATTCACAAAAACATAATTTCATTTAATATCCAATTAATAACATCTTGTATTCCATTATTCATATATTATTATTATTCCATCCTGCTATTCCTATAAAAATACAAGAGCAAAAGATTATTGATAATTGGTTTTTTTTACAAACTCCACATTTTAGGTTCAAATTTCAACATTCAAGCTATTAGAATTTAAAAACAAAAGTAATGTACATGAACTTAAGAAACTTATATATATATATATATATATAGTATTTACTTAAAAATAATAAAGAATTTAAAAGATAAATATCAGAGTAAACCAACAAGCACAATTAACACCAAAACTACCAACCTTAAAGAAAGACTACATCTAGCTGAGAATATATTTAAATAATAATAATCCCATTTTACTACACATTCTTTATATTAAGATAGAAGCAAAATCCTAGAAAAATCGGGATTAGAGAAGGTCTGGTCATGGCTGGAGTCATGTCTGGAGATTGCTTCAACATGTATTGAATTTTTTTAAGTCCTCTTTCGAATTTGTTAAAAAATGTTGAGGAATACCAAGTGTAATACCAAAATTACAAATATAACATATGTTCGTGCTTTAACCCAACTTTGTAACTCTGGGTGTGTTCTTCTTAATTCTTCATGTTAATGCTTAGCTCAGGCAAGGAAAGTTATTTCAGAAGTGTACACATCTTTTGTACTGCAGTGTACTGTCTCTGGGCGGTAATGTAAACACAAGACGGATGTCGAAGCCTGAAACGGGATCCATCTTTCACATAAAAAATCGATGAAATATTCTGGTCATAGGAAACTATTATATGAATTATCAAAATTTTCAAAATTTAATGCTTTTAACCTCCTCGGATACTAAACGAACACTGATGCATCTATTCTTGTTTACAAATTCCGCCCCAAAGAGAACTGGTTTCAATATGTACTCAGAGTATACACGACCGCAATAAACTTTCCTTGCCTTGCATTCTTGAGCTCAGGCTAATTTTTCAAAACTAGTAATTGTGTAAACAACATGAACTAAACTTTTTGAGCTCATACCAGAATAAACTATAAGGGATTTTGTTTTCCTTTGTGGCATTTTATAATGTACATGTGAATTAATTATTCATTGGATTCAAGCTTTTTTTTTGTACTTTTTTGATTGAAATAAAAATTATTTTTTAATGCTTGCCATGTTCTTTTAAAAATGAATTTGTTACTTAATTTATGTGAAAAACTGAGAAGCTTATAACTTCTTCTAAATTAAGATTCAAGACAGACCCATTGTTAACTTGACAGAAGGAAAAGTCAAATTTTTTCAACATCCATAGTAGGATCACTTCGTAGGTCCTCTAGTTTTCATGGGAATTCAGTGCTGAATTTGATATCATCTTTGTTATGAATTAGTATAGAAATACCTAATTTAAAAAGCCATAATATTATTATGTTTGCTAGACTTTATTTTATGAAAACAGCTAATGGCTGAAGAGATGTGTCTATAATGTCTCCGCAAGATGAACAGTGAAGACGGACAAGTTTACTCTGTTTGAATACTGTAATTTTCTTGTTTTACAACCGTATGCAGTCAAAACAAACAAATTGTAAGCATAGACGACGAAAATCTTATTTATTACAGCTTTCTCAATAGGTATATCACTATACTAAATCAAAGAATTATTTTAAAAGACGATATCGAATTCGTCACTAAATGCCCATGTTTATTGGGACACCCTGTGTAAAAAAAAACTAATTTATTTGGTGACATTAACATATTAAAAATTCATGACATTTTTCTCAATCTAGCTCTTCAACTGCAGGAGAAGTAATGATTATGATTATGCAAGATTGAAATCTCTTAGTTTGATGTAGACCAACTAAAATCGAGCTGGTATGTTAAATTATGCTTATATGCTTGGCCAGACGTGAAAAATAGTATGACTGAGGATAACGATTTTACTATTAAACTATCCTGTCTGTGTGTAATCAGAATAAAGTGGAGGGGATCAATAAATGTGTAAAATATAGTTATACTTTTTTACTGTAACAGTGGGCGAGTTTTGTTGATCTTTTACGATCAGCAATTCAAGGATTTTTTGGATCGCTGAGATCATAGCTACCAAGGGGAATCACGACTCGTTGAATATTTGAGAAACTCAGTGCATTGCTTTATTGATTTTTATTCTTATACAATATTACGTTTATGTTTTAAATTTTTTTAACAATATGTAGAAAATAAAACAGATGATGATAATCTGCACATAACTTATCTACTACAGTCATTAAAAAACAAAAGCAGAAAAGTTACACACTTATTAAATTTTCTTTTCTAATATTTTAATTCCTTTGGATGAGTTTTTATTAAAAACTTAAAACAATTGTGATTGTAATATTTTTATTGATAACCAAAGCGTATATTTATAAGCACTCACAAATAATGAAACATACTAAATACTCCAGACGGTTTAAATCTTAACCAACATGTAGTAATCTCTGATTGTATGTCTGATCATAACTCATGAACCACTAATTTACCTCCAATTTTGATTGGGGAAGTCAGTAGAACAATTTGTTCTTATCTTAGCCTAAGCTGAAAACTTTAGAATGGTGGATATCGAGATTAATGCTTGATCCTCTCTTTTTCTGAATTTCAAGACTAATCTAATCTTGTACTTGTATCCTGAAATGTGTATAAAATTCAACCAATCCGATTCAGGTATATGAAGCTGATAAATTTGAAATTTTGCGCGCCATTTAAGATATTACACAGAAACGGGAGGGACTCTCTAATTTAGAAAAACCGGTTTAAGAAGAAAATCAAAAGTGTGTCCATTGGATACTCAGATTAAGTAATTGGGATTAAGGATATCTCATTCTAAAGTTTTCAGCTCTGGTTTTAAAATTCTACAATGAGCTAGTCGACTTACTTATATTTACAGACAAAGCTTATGTTAGATTAAAAATATATCAAGCTTTTTTCAGAACTCTAACTTATTGGTTCCACGTAGTCGATTCATAAATTTTCATCTGTATGCTGAAGGTTTTTTATTTCAATGTTTTTTTTTCATGTTACTTTATAAATGATAATGCACCATCACTGTGGCATGTGTTCAGGTGTATGTTTAAAAGCTAGAATGAGAATCATTGTTTTTTTGTATTATTTTTTTGAAGAAAAAATTATTTACATTGTGTTTTTAGAAGACTTATAAAAACGTTAAGGTTTGGATTTAAAATTCTGAATCATGATTTTTTCAGCAAAATCTGCAAAATCCGGATATATTTTTACTTTTTTATGTAATGTATTGTAAACAGTTTGATAAACAATATAAATATATAAATGTGGAGGATAAAAAAAACATCTGTAAAAACACTTGAAGAGGACACTTTAGAGGCTGTTTACAATCAGTTTAGCCTCTATAAGAGGTGTGGAAGGTAGCCAGAACTTTTTTAATAGACTAATTTTTAAAACAAAACAATTTTTGAAATTTTAATTTTAAAAAATGGATCTGAGACCCTATTTTCAGTCGTACAGTGCACTGTACAATGACAATGTACACTGTTTACTGTACAGTATACACTGCCACTAGGAAGTGTATACTGAGCCCAAAACTTAAGACAGGGTATCGTTATGAAAACCAGTTTTAAAACCCGGGTTTCACGAATGGGTTTAGACATTTTTGTGAATATCAGTATTTTTGTAATGAAATATTATTTTTTTCAGTTTGTTTATATTCTCCATTTTTTCCGAATATCTTAAATCAAAATCTACACAAATCTTAAGACCCCAAAAATGAAACTCGGGAGTTTCGTTCAACGATACTCTTTTTCGGGCTCTGTTCAGTATACAGTGTACACTGTGCAGTATACAGTGTACACTGTACAGTATACAGTGTACACTGTACAGTATACAGTGTACATTGTACAATATACAGGTACACTGTACAATATACAGTGTACACTGTACAGCATACAGTGTACACTGTACAGTATACAGTGTACACTGTTCAGTTTAAATTGTACAGTATACAAGAAAATATACAAAAAATACCCGGAACTTAATAATAAGCCAAAACTGTAGGATGAGTTTATATATTCAAATTTATTCACTGCAACTTAGAACATCACAGAATTACTGAAGGGTCAAAGCCAAAAAGTTTGCTTGTTAAGAAAATATTATCAATATAACAATAATTTATCATTAAATTACTTAGTTAACGACAACATTTTTTCTGCATTCATTGAATGGATTATAATTTTTCAAACAGTTGATTTGTTTACATTTCCTCCTGCATATTGAATATTCCAGGACCCATGATGTATATTGTATATTCAGTTCTGTACATTAGTACATAACAGGTTTTCACTGAATTATTTTGTTTTCTGGACAGTTTTTCTCTTGCTTTACATACAATAGCAATTGCTAACATGTTTTGGAAGTTAAAGCACAAAAATAAGAAGCACTCGTAAACACAAAAATTTAAACTTACTAAAGTTGGTTTTTATCTTAAACTCTTTTCATACTGGAAATGTTCTTAGTTTGTGATTTAATTTCTTTATAATTCGTATTTTTGATTGACAGTGATGTTTAAGAATTGTTAAGATGTCTGTTGGCTGCTTTCCTTGGCAAACGAAAGACTTGGGAGGAAGTGATGGAAGTCTGTATAATCAGGTTTTAAATAATTTTCAATGGATTGTTGACATATTGATTCGCCATTTATAGAATGGCATGCCCATGTCTTCTTTTTCTGAACAAGAAAACATAGAGATATTTAGAGATATTCATCATCTGCTTTTGGAAATTAATCTGCAATGTGGTTTCCTAAAGAGTGCTTTAGAAACGATGGAGAAAGCTATAAGGACTAAACACTTTTCAAGGATGAAAAAACAACAATATCTTTCACATTATGAAAAAATAAAGGTTTTAAGAGCACCGTTGTGTAATGCACCTCTTTTCAGGAGAAAAGGTCACATGAATTTTCACTGACAGTCCCTTTAACTATCTAAACTCATCATTCGTTGAAAAATCTAATATAATTACTAAGATAATAAAACAGTAGAAACCATAGCCCGGTTTCTTTGTCCGGTTCTAGCTATGATTTAGCTGCGACTTCCTAGCTTAGCTATGATTTTGTATTCGTTAGTCCAAAATCAGAGCAAGATCAAAGCTTAGGTTAGATCTGAAGTCGGAGCTAAATCATAGCTAAATATCAGCTGATGGAAATCACACCTGAGGTTGGATTTAGTTTCGACTTCACAGCTAAATCACAGCAAATGGGAACAAACTATTCGCCATTTTTAGGTTTTCACATGATTTTGGGTACAAATAAGCAGACATTAAAACTACTAAAATTGCAAAAATGAAAATAGAGACCAGAAATAATATGCCAAAATGCATAGTTCAGAAAAATAAAAATATTTCTAAGATTTTTTAAAAAAACCTAACTTTTTTAAAAAAGATATTTTTTTAATTTTTTAACTAATAAATTAAAAAAAATATTTCTAAAAATACTTTTTAAAATAAAAAATAAAAATTTTCTTAAGAATATTTATTTTTATTTTGAATACTAAAAAAAGAATTTAAAAAAAAAATAAACCTTTTTATCAGATATTTCCTTTTAAAGATTATTTCTGTTATTCTCTTTTTCTTCTTCATCTTTTATCTCTATCTATCTATCTATGTATTTATTAGTCTATCCATCTATCTAATTTATCAATCATTTTACAATTTTAAGGCCAAAAATCAAAGACGACTTTTAAAACGGGCCAAAAAAAAAGAAAGCCCCAAAAAAATTTAATTTTTTGCTGTCAGATAGGAAGGCCAGCTGTCATCAAATCATAGTCAGAGCAGCTGAGATTGGATTCATAAAACAAATTACTTGTACTTTGACTAGATCTGAAATCATACTAAATCCAACCTCAAAATTTTGACTTATGAATGAGCTTTGACTATGATCTGAAATCTAACCTTGTAGCTGTGATCTCAAATAATAGTCAGAGTCAAAGCAAGTTACAGCTCGATAAAGAAACCGGGCTCATATTTGCACAATCCAAGGATATCCAAAATCAGGTGTCCTCTCAAAATAGAGTTAGAAACTAAGTTAATTGTACTAGCTTAAGAAATAAAACAGGATATTTTTGAAAAGCCCATTAACTAACAATAAAATTTTTACAAGACTTTTCATACATTCATAATGGCGTCACTTCATTCCATGTTTATTGTGACACCTATTGTACCTATTTGTCCAGGATGAAGAGAAAAGGGACTTTGGAATGCGCCGAAGCGCCTCGGAAATAAAACTTACAAAGAAGAAGAAAGATGAACGAAAAGATAAATCAAGGAAAGCAATTAAAATATAAGATGAAAAATGAGATATGGCAAATGGTTATATGTCAGCTACTCCCTACCTTGCTCCTTCTACAAAATATTCAAAAATAGTTTAACCTAATCATTGTTTATTTATAGCTCCTTATACACGCCGTATCTGTGTAACACGTATATACAGAGGATCATAAAGTTGTGATATAAATTCAAAAATGCTAACAACCTTTTGATGCAGACCCCCCCCCCTTCCTAGACTTTTAGCGTGTGTAATTAAAACAGTTTGATTATTTTGTTTAAAATATGTTTAATTGGTTTTAGAAGTGTACACTTTGATGATGGTTCGACAACAAATAATATTTCAATAATTGGTATTATATTAGAAAATTACGAAAACTTTAACAAATACTAATTTTTAATTTTTGTACAGCAATAAGAAAAATTTGAAATAAGTAGGCGACTTTAAGAACAAAGTTAACTGTAAAAAGGCCTATGAGCATGAGACACGAAAGTTGTGCGGTGACCCATTTATCTAAATTAGTAAAATTTGAAAGTGACTAGCAAGAATTTTGCTTTGTAACAACATCAAATACAATTAGGTATTGATGTAATGTCATCCTCATATTCCATTGTTTTCTGGTTATCACTGCCTCTACTCTAATTATTTTGAGAAAATAATATAGATATGAAACTGCTCATTCTTTAAGAAAAAGGCAGTAAAAAGGGAGTGTTCGCGAAAAATGAAAGGGGGTATAGGCTTAATAATGCACTGAATGATTCCACGAGGAAGAGACACCTAGCGGATAAATTGTTGTTTTAAGTACATTGTATATAAAACAAATAAAATATATTATGAAATATCAACTTCATAAGAATGTGTTCAAAAATTATCGATGACTATATGGTTGTAATATCTGAATGATTTGTTATAGAATTAAAAAAAATTTTTCTACGATCCGAATCGTATGTTGCAACTTTCTGTATGTATTGACGCTACGTTCTTTGGTAAGAGTCGTTTTTAACAATTTTCTCCATATAGACGCAACAGAAAGAAGTAAGATTATTAGCGATCACCATCGATAATTTTTCGCCGTAAGCCTTTAGTTTATGTGAAATTTACTTTAATTTACGTAAAATTTACTTGAATTTACGTGAAATTTGCTTTAGTTTACGTAAAATTTACTTTAATTTACGGGAAGTATACTTTAATATATGTGAAATTTACTTAAAATAGATTTTAATTTACGTGAAATTTACTTGAATTTACGTGAAATTTACTTGAATTTATGTGAAATTCAAGTAATTTTAAATCAACTAGGGTTCATTTTCTCGACCCCCCCCCCCCTTCTCCTGTCTGTAAAGAGTTGATGCATGTTGTATATGCGGGATAGAGGTCTGTAAATCAGTAATACTTAAACTCTCATTGTTATATATTGTACACAATACACAATTCACATATAAATATACACAGGGGGATCCAAAACAATCTTTATCTTTAGTTAAATCGACATTACTTAGTCATTTCTTTTGTACTATGTACGATGTACATGCATACGTGCACGGTGCGGGGATCATTCAAAGTTCTGCCATTTACCATGTACAGTGTACACTAAACAAACATATAATATTCATGTACAATGTATTTAGATACATGTTCGTGTTTTACATATTCAATTTATGAATCTGTAATCATAGGGGAAAGAGAAAATGACATCACGACTGATACTTCAAGAACTGGTAATTGGAACTTCAAGGTACTTAACCTACCTGACTTATGTAAACTACCTGAACCACCTGAAATATCTGACCTACCTGACCGAACTGATCTTTCATACCTACCTGACTTACTTGACCAACCTTACTTAACTTACTTACCTGATCTACCTGATATACCTGACTTACTTGCCTACCTGACTTACCTGATCTACTTGACCTACCTGACCTAACTGACCTTCCTGACCTACCGGACCTGCCAGATCTACCTTACCTACCTGACCTACCTGACCTACTGGATCTGCCAGATCTACCTTACCTACCTGACCTACTGGATCTGCCAGATCTACCTTACCTACCTTACCTTCCTGACCTACCTGACCTAAATGACCTACTGGATCTGTCAGATCTACCTTACCTACCTGACCTACATGACCTCCCTAGACAATGTTGAAGAGGTCGATGTCTACTGAAGACCCTGTCTTGAACCCTGAGAACAGGATGATCAGGAAGAAGGATGGATCTCTTGATGAAGGCAGGGTTTTCAAAATATGTCAATTGTTCATAAAAAAAATTGCATTTTTAAGCATTCAATGAAATCTCAAAAATCAATTAAAAAAGTGAGTTTATGATAAAAAATGAAAGATGGAAATATTAAACACAACAAAGAAACTGAGTTTTTGTCAGAAACTCAAATTGTCTAATGTCTAATCCCTTTATTTGTGCAACCAGATGGTCTGTGGCAAAGACCCAATTCCTTTAAATGTAAATTGAACATTAAAAATTGTACATACAACAATTTAAATTAAATTATTTAATTATGAGATTATGAAATTTGCTCTAGGGTTTGAAAGCTGCTCTGAGGGAGTCCAAGGAAGAGCTACTAAGGAAACCAGGAACCCTGAGAAAGAACTGAACCAGGCAAAAAGTAAAGATATATTGGATGAGAATCATGATAAAGATAATGATGAAGTAAAAGATGTTGAATATGACACTATTACATCTGTAGAAGTGTCTAGTAAAGTTGAAGGTGTAGAGATTCCTCCTGCTAAACCAACAAGATCATCAATATGGGCAAATGTAAGTTTTGATTTAAAATAACCGTTGGTTCTAATTTTGTTAACAAGGGCCTTTAGTTGGATCCGAATGATCCATGTTTGTTCTTTTCATATTCATCGGGAATGATTGTATAAAATTCGTTAACGCGTAGGTCGTTAAACCTATGCGCTTCTATTGTTTTAAGGCAATTTTAATTTCTAATAACGTAAATATTTTTGAACATATTCTGGTCTTTAACATATGATCATTGTTAACGAGAATCGCTCCACGTTCGTTATAACTTAAAATCGTATACGCAAATTGAAATCGTAAAATCGTGTACGCTAATTGAAAAAAACGATCGTACGTAATTTATAAAATTAAGAAAAAGTATAGCTTTTGATCATTTGTTTTAGGGTGGAAGTATTTTGAATGAAATTCCTTTATCCTACTACAGGTTTGATATTTTTCATTTGTATAATGTATATAGCTTAGTCTTAAAAAAAATATTTTCATAAAAGAAAATTATCATTTTCATATTATGAGGCTTGAAAACTTCTTTTATATCAAAAATTTGAGAAAACCTTTAAACTTTATTATTTAAATTTAGTTTATCTTTCTTCTTTATTCTTCTCCTAGGTCACTTTATATCACAATCCCTTTAAAAATACTGATATTGAATTTTTAGCTTTGATTTTACCCTAATTTGTGGAAAAGATCTTCTTGCAATGGACAAAGGAGGTACCATAAAATATAAAGTAAATAAAATAAAAATTATCTGTATTTTCGAAATATTTAGGCACTAGTGATCCTTATGTTGTAATTCTGAAGGACCAGCAACAGCTTTACAGGTAATTAATGATATTAAAAACAATATATACCACATAAGAGACGAAATATTTGTAATATTGAAAGAAATACAAATTAACATTTGTATTTAATAAAAAGTATCCACGATAACATTTGCAAATAGTATTTATCTAATATATGGTAAAATATTCGAAATTGTATTCGAAATATTGTTAGAAAAAACATTATTTTTTTTAAAAAATATTCGTAATAATTACAATTTTGGAATTTCGACCATTTTTCAACAAAGGAATTGAGTCATTGCCACAAACTCTGACTTTCTAACTTCTATATCTTTGCAACCAAATGTTGTAGACCTTTGATATTTCAAACTATTAATTCTGCTACGTAGCTTAAAATATAAGTTTGAAATATTTAAGATGTACACCATCAGGTTCGATAGATATTGGAATTGGAAAATTTGAGTTTGTTGCAAAGACTCAAATTCTTTTTACAGGAACTGACATTATTCGCTTAAAATAAGATTTTTAATCTATTTATCTTGGCCACTTGATGATGTAAATATCATAGTTTGAATTAATAATTTGAAGTCTCATCAGATAGCAAACGAATAGAGATTAGAAAAAAAGAATTTGAGCAAATAGTCAATTCCTTCAAATAGTGTGTTTAACCTTAAATTTTCCCTTTCTATAATAATATTTTATAACTCGAGATCTGCTGAAGTTAAGAAGACGATAAACCCTGTTTGGGAGGAGACAAAAACTTTATACTTGGATTCTCTCTCTACACTTACACTTCAGGTTAGTTGAACAAGTACAACACTTACATACAGTACACAAAATGGCGTCAGGTAACTTGCAAGGCAGCATTTTGCATTTTAACAAAGTTGCTAAGCGAAAAACAGGCCTTTTTAACATTTACAAAGTTACTACATAATACAAGTTCAACTGGATTACTGGCGCCTGAAAACTTTGTTAACTGCAAAATGAAATTGCATTTTTGAGAATAAAAAATAAATAAAAACTCCTTGACAAAGTATATTTAGGTGTTTGACAAGGATACTGTTGGTAAAGATGATTTTATGGGTCAATCCGTCCTTCAGATTAATACATTAGAGATTAACAAGTAGGTTCAAGTACTCCATACATTAGAGATTAACAAGTAGGTTCAAGTACTCCAAACATTAGAGATTAACAAGTAGGTTCAAGTATTCCATACATTACAGATTAACAAGTAGGTTCAAGTTCTCCATACATTAGAGATTAACAAGTAGGTTTAAGTACTTAAAACATTAGAGACGATCAAGTAGGTTCAGGTACTCCAAACATTAAAGATTAAGAAGTAGGTTCAAGTACTACACACATTACAGATTAACAAGTAGGTTCAAGTACTCCAAACAATACAACTCCCTGTACTCCATGTTTATTGAAACTCCCTGTACTGCAAGTATATTGAACCTGTTTAGAAAGTATGATCTATGTTTGGAACTTGAGTTTGGAGACAGTAATCAATTGAGGAAGAAAGCTAAAAAGGCGCAAAATCAATTGGGTAAAACTATTATTAGGAATCAAAATCAATCAATAAATGCAATTAATGATGAATTTAAATCAAATTAGAAAGAAAATCAATTGAAAGGCAATAAATTAGATAACATGTGCTATTAAGATAAAAATGAAATTGATTGAGACGGAACAAACGTTTTTCCTTTTTTTATATAGAAAAAAAGAAAAATCATAATAAAACTTATAAAGCAAATTAAAATCTGTTATACAAATTTTTTTATGGATAAATTGAAAAATAATTGTTTAGGAAGAATAGAATTGTGTGTAACCCTGACTTCTATAACAAAACTGGAATATAATCAGGTTAATGGGACTGTTCTAGTTTTTACGATAGGTTTTGATAAATTTTTTTCATCTCGTTTTAACGAAAAAAAATTATTACGTCCCAGAACATAAATATTAGAATCATGGCGATTTTTTAACATTTGTTTTAGGGAATACGTAGTATGAAAAATATCAACTCAAAAGATTTCAAAGCGACAGGAAAATACCCACATGGATTAGAAAATCAAAAAAGCTTTCTGTGAAATCTTTAAGATATCTAAAGTTTGTTTACGCCCCTTCGAATTTCCCCCTTAGTTCCCTTATGTGGGTTTAATTGTACAAGGTGTTGTACATGTGGTTCTCGTACAGGCACGCTCTGTCAAAGCAATGGATCACGGTAACAGCTCTGATCCGTACTGCAAGGTACTGCATTTTGTATATTTATTCTTTTGAACTGAATGTAAGAAAGTTACGGGGGAAATTGTTTCTGAAATAGAAATTTCGTGAAAAAATCCCAATTTTCTGAGTCTGAGTCCTGAGTATTGGATTCCTGGGACTTTTTTCCAAAAACCTAACAGTTTGAGGCCTTTTTTCCACAGGACTTTTTTTAGGGAAATTGACGGTCACCATTCATTTATTTATGTTTAGATTGTTTAGATGTTGGAGAAAATTTCTAAAATTGACTAAAATTCTTTCCGTAAAGCAGATATTGTTGACCTCTCAAATAAAATTGCCAAGAACAAAATTGCCAAAATTAAATCATTATTTCCATGCAGAATTTTCACGTTATAAGAACATTTTAATTATTTAAAATATATGTATCATACCCAAACTTTTTAAACGAGAAACACAGCTGAGCCCATCGTACCATTTTTTATAATCGCAGCAATTCTTGAAAATTATTTTTTTTACTGATAAAATCTTTACTTTGGGGTTTTCGAAAATCATTTAGTGGTACGATTGGCTTAAATGTTTCTTATTCGAGAAAAAAAGTTTTATTTTCCGAAAAAAAAATCCAGAATACAGGCTGATCCAGAAGAAATGTGGAAACTAAAACTATTTTCAAAAATATTTATGTTGTTGAAGGTATCTCTTGGAAAAGAAAAGAGGAAAAGTCGAGTTTGTAGTTCTACGCTTAATCCCAAGGACTGTTCAGATCACATTCTCCTTTACATGGATGCAAAAATGCCAAAATTTATAATTTATTAGCTCTTAGTCCGTAGTTTCAAAAGGGCTTTTAAAACATTTTAAAGTCTGTCCCAGAGAAAACTTGATTTTCAAAAACATGGATATTTCAATAGAACACAAAACCCTATTCATATTAATTCGTGAATAAATTGGTATTACTTCTATAATCTAATGTTTCTGCAAAATTATTCAGACAGTTAAAGTCTAGTGTCAGTCAATTAAAAACAGGTTGGTCAGTGAAGATATCTCTTCATTTTTTTATTCACAGAAATATTGGATAGGAAAAGCCCAAATGTATATATGACCTAAATATGGTCACACTTTAATATGCAATAGACAGTAGGAGAAGGTCAAATTTATGCGACATTATTGGTACAACTTTGTAACCTCGTAGCATTTCTAGGTTTGATCTTACACACAAGTATAAATTAAGCAAATTTAAGATTTCAGAGAAGATTAGTAGCATTTTAGTTTTGATCTTACACAAAAGAATGAAAAAAACAAATTTAAGATTTCAGTGAAGATTAGTATTACTTTGTGACCTCTTAGCATTTCTAGTTTTGATCTTACACACAAGCATAAGTCTTACAGAAAATATTAGTTTTACTTTGTGACCTGGTAGCATTTCTAGTTTTGATCTTGAGAAGTAATTTAAAAAAAAAATTTTAATATTTTTGTTCTTAGTAGCACAGCATGCACTTTAATAATTTAGTATTTTATTCTAATCCAAATCTTTAAGTGCTTCCTTCTCGCTTTAAAGATTTGAAATAAAAATTGTATCAAAAATCAATTCATATAAATCTGAAACTGAACACAGTGGCGCGAAGCTTTGGATTTCTATTGGTTTGAGGAGTTTACAGATTTTCTTGAAATCCAGGTTTGGGATCAAGATGTTGGCGAGAAGGATGATTATATGGGAAGGTTTGTAATTTTCTCTTCAGCATTATTTTTGTTAAAGATATTGTTATAATAATTTCCAAAAGCTACATATAGAATTCCGAAAAGTATTTTTATGAAACAATTAGTGAGATAGTCATGGTCGTTTTCTTCATAGAAAAAGGTAATTTCTGTATTCCTTGTCTCTATTGCAAAAAAAACCGCTACACACTTTTTATCAAACATCGATAAATCCATCATTTTTCTCACACAAGGGTACTGGTTTAGGTTTGAAATTTCGTCGGCAGTCCCTTTAAATACAGTTTTTATTTTTTCTTAATTTTAAATTCAAATTAGTCTGAAGATTTTAACTTTTTTAAGTTAATGCCGGGAAACTCTTCATCTGTACATATAGCATATTTTGCAAAGGTTAAAAATCATACATACAAATACAAATCTACCTACCTCAGGGTAGATATAGATCTACGTGAACTCAGACATGAGGTCTCCCATAACCTTTGGAGAGAAATACAGGCAAAACACACAATTAAACATTAAACAGCATTAACTAAGATTAGACAGACACAATAATAACAAAAAAAGACAAAAATAGTCGAAATAAAAAACTATTGAATGATAAGTATAGGAAAGCAGAAGCTAGCCATGACTCTTTATTCATTAAATCCAACCTCAGTTGTTATTGATCTTGTTAAAATACAATTTAAATAATCCATCAAATTTAATGAAATTAGGAAACTTAGTGTTATTTCGAAATAAAACTATGTACTGCTATGTACAATTATGAATTATATAAATTGATTTAAAATAAGTGGGTTTAGGAAGGAGAAGGTAGTCTGAATGTCATCATAACAATTTCAGGTATTTTTGAGAGAGTTTAAATCTATAAAAATTTTTACCAAGAAATAATAAAAATTTTCCCAGGCACAAGCAAGAAGTCCTCGCCTTCAAACCTGGATAATTTTGACCAGGTTACTTTAAATATTTAAGATTTAATCAAAATTTAGAAATTACTTATTTTAAAATTTAGGCTTGTCTTCAGCATTTGGAGGAGAATTTTACAATATCAAACTCGTTCAGAAATATCCAGGTGTAAGAATAATGAATTTTTCATTAATTTTTCATTTATTTTTTATTGATATTTCATTAATTTTTCATTAATTTTTCATTTATTTTTTATATTAATATTTCATTAATTTTTCATTCATTTTGTCAGATGTCTTTGAATAATTTTTCATCAATTCGCAAATTTTTCAACAATTTTTCATGAATTTTTAGCAAATTTTTCATACATTTGTCATTAATTTTTCACAAATTTTGCACGAAATTTTCATGAATTTTATAACTAATTATTTTCAGGATGTTGGAAGAATGATTGTTAAAGTTCTAAAAGCTGAAGGATTAGCATCTGCAGGTTTTTACTTTTATTTAAATTTTATATATTTCAAACAAAATCTAAAAAAATAAAATAAAATCGATTTTTAGATATCGGTGGAGCTAGTGACCCTTTTGCAGTTCTTGAGCTAGTTAACCAAAGGAATAAACTTTTGAATATTATGATTTTTTGTAAAAGTGTAAAATTATTTAGCGATTTTTTGCCAAATAAAGAATAATGTTTTTTTGTATTCTCCAGAGTGCAAACTGAAACGAAGAATAAAACTCTGAATCCAACCTGGCAAAAAGTGTTTATTTTGTAAGTTTTTAATTGTTAAAATATTTCAATTAGTTGAAGTTATAAATTAAGCTATTTCTAGTGATGTACTGGATATCCACGATGTTCTGGAGATTACTGTATATGATGAAGACAAGGATCATAAATTTGAGTTCCTAGGAAAGGTAAATCTATTCTGAAGTTGTTAATGCTGTGCTGATTAGCAAATTTCATGAAGAAATGTTTATAATAAGCTGTTTTCTTGTGATCTGCTGTTTTCTTGTGATCAGTTGCTTTCTTCTGATCAGCTGTTTTCTTGTTATCAGCTGTTTTCTTGTGATCAGCTGTTTTCTTGTGATCAGCGGATTTCTTTGTTTTCAGCTGATGCTTCCTCTATTGCGTATAGAGAGTGGAAGACGACGTTGGTTCACACTCAAGGATAGAACTATGAGACGAAAAGCCAAGGTATATGCTTGTTTTGAACTTAGAGGGGGGGGGGTGGCGATGAGAAAAATGTAAAAAATCTTTTGCTCGGCATGTTTAGTTTTTTCCTGAGATATTTTAAAAAACATGTAATGAGATAAAATATCATTCCTATTTGATCCATACATATTTAAAGACATATGTTTTGAGATGCAATCATGCAGTAAAAGATGTATGAAGAGTAAAAATGAATTGATTTTAGGGTGCATTTCCCCAAATTCTGCTGGAACTTCATCTTTTTTGGAATCCGTAAGTTTGCTTTTGATTTGATTTGAAAACATTTTGCAAAGGGGCTAACGAAAAAAAACAGTTTTATTTTTCATAGGATTCGGGCATCTATCAGGACTCTTAATCCAAAACAATTAAAGGTATAAATCATATGTATGTTAGTAAAAACTGTTAAAAAAAAAAAACTTTAAACACTTTTCTAAAGTTTTGACCTGGTTTTTAGTTTAAACCCTTGTACACTGTACAATGTACAGTTGTCGCCAATATTAAATAGAATAAAAGTAGAAATTAAATCAATTCTTTTGATTAACACTGACACCTTAAAACTTAATTTACAAAATATCCGATTCAAAGCACAAAGATGTCTTCTACCATGCATTTAAAACTATTTCATGCAATATTTTGTATCATAAAGTTGTCTAATTATTTCCATTAAATTTTGGGACCCCTGTATACATTTAGTACGAAGATAGATCAGACATCAAGTTCAAGTTTTCAACCTTCAACAAGAACGTGAACAGGGTGAAGACCGCCACAGCAGGGTTCGATCCAGAGATCTTAGCCAGGGAACTCACGTAGGTGGATATATTCAGTAGACCCGTGGAAGGTGCAGGGGAGGGATTTATTTTCAAGGCAAAGGTTGGGAATGAATCTTAGCAAAAATAATCGCTGAAGGCAAAGAATCTTAAGTTTCAGTATTTTCAGATATATTTTAAATGTTTAATTTATTGAAATTCTACGATTTACATTTTTATCATTTTCATGATTATCTTGAATTGAAACATTTTTAGGAGTAGCATGATAGGCATGATTTACTGGAATATTTTGAATTATATCACGTTTAGGATTTCTTGGGCCTTATCATGCTTAGGAGTATCTTGTATCATGTTCAGGAGTATCTTGAATTGTATCAAGTTCATTATTATCTTGAACTGTATCATGTTTAGGAATATCTTGAACTGTATCATGTTAAGGAATGTCTTGAACTGTATCATATTTAGGACTATCTTGAACTGTATCCAGTTCAGGAGTATCTTGAACTGTATAGTTGTTACGGAGTATCTTAAACTGTATCATGTTCAGGAGTATCTTGAGCTGTATAATGTTTAGGACTATCTTAAACTGTATCATGTTTAGGAGTATCTTGAAGTGTATCATGTTCAGGAGTATCTTGAACTGTATCAAGTTCAGGATTATCTTGAACTGTATCATGTTAAGGAATGTCTTGAACTGTATCATGTTTAGGACTATCTTGAACTGTATCCAGTTCAGGAGTGTCTTGAACTGTATAGTTGTTACGGAGTATCTTAAACTGTATCATGTTCAGGAGTATCTTGAACTGTATCCAGTTCAGGAGTATCTTGAACTGTATAGTTGTTACGGAGTATCTTGAACTGTATCATATCCAGGAGAATATTGAACTGTTTCAAGTTCAGGAGTATCTTGAACTGTTTTGGAGTACTTTGAAGTGTATCAAGTTCAGGAGTATCTTGAACTGTATCATATCTAGGAGAATATTGAACTGTATAGTTGTTACGGAGTATCTTGAACTGTATCATATTCAGGAGAATATTGAACTGTTTCAAGTTCAGGAGTATCTTGAACTGTATCATGTTCAGGAGTATCTTTAACTGTATCATGTTTAGGAGTATCTTGAACTGTATCATGTTCAGGAATATCTTTAACTGTATCATGTTCAGGAGTATCTTGAACTGTATCATGTTTCGGAATATCTTGAACTGTTTCAAGTTCAGGAGTATCTTGAACTGTATCATGTTCAGGAGTTTCTTGAACTGTATCATGTTCAGGAGTATCTTGAACTGTATCATGTTCAGGAGTATCTTGTATCATGTTCAGGAGTATCTTGAACTGTATCATGTTCAGGAGTATCTTGAACTGGGAGAATAAGTTGAAGACGAGTGTTGTATTCCTTGGATATCTTCTTGGAGTTTACTTCTTCCAACCTTGGATGATAACTTTCGGACTTCTTGTTCCATTTATTCAGGTTATATATCATTTTACACAAAATTTAAATAAAATAATCTTATTTTCCTTTACAGGAACGAATTCTTTTTCGTTTCTTGCAATAACATTTATTTGTCTATTTATAGGAAAACTTTAACAACTTGGAATTTTTAGATTTAAAGGAAATTTTTTATTTGATTTTTGATTAGTTTTTGAATAAATTAAATAATTTTTTTAAGAACCTTGCGATAAGAAGATTAACTGGAGGAGGAGAAGAGGAGAAGGATTTAGAAGAGGAAAACCAAGAGGAAAATAATTCAACAAAAGTAGATTTTAAAAAATTATTTTAAAAATCATTAGGGAGGGGGGGGGGGGCTTTTCAGCTCTGCCCACTCATTATCAATCATTAGACGATTATATCAATATAATAAAGACGACTTTTTATTCAGTTTTCATTTTTTCGAATTACAGGTTTACAGTAATCAAAGAGAAGCTTTTTTAATTGACAGCTTCTCTTTGTTTCCATGTTTTTGTGTATCCATACTTTTCAAAAGCTCAATATAAATCTAAATGAATTTAAAAGTCGTTTTCGTTTTTGTAAAATAATATAATATAATGACCTTTTCAAGTTTTTATTTGCAGGCTGAAGAGGAGAAGAAAAGTATAAAAGAAAAAATGCAAGCAATGCAGGAAATTGCGCTCACTATTCAGGTCAAAACTCACTATTCAGGTCAAAACTAACTATTCAGGTCAAAACTCACTATTCAGGTCAAATCTCACTATTCAGGTCAAAACTCACTATTCAGATCAAAACTCACTATTCAGGTCAAAACTCACTATTCATGTCAAAACTCACTATTTAGGTCAAAACTCACTATTCAGGTCAAAACTAACTATTCAGGTCAAAACTCACAATTCAGGTCAAAACTCACTATTCAGGTTATTCAGGTCAAAACTCACTGTTCAGGTCAAAACTCACTATTTAGGTCAAAACTCAAAATTCAGGTCAAAACTCACTATTCAGGTCAAAACTAACTATTTAGGTCAAAACTCACTATTCAGGTCAAAACTCACTATTCAGGTCAAAACTCACTATTCGGTCATAACTCAAAACTTGGGTGCACCAAAATTCAAGTCAAAACTATATAAAATAATGTATTTATGTTTCAGAATCATTTGGGATTTCTTGCACATGCTTTAGAATGTGTAAAAAATGTTTTTAACTTCAGGAAAAAATAATAATTTGAAAAACAATATATTTTTGTAAACGAAACTTATTTAAATAAAATAAATTATTATTCTTTTAGTGTTCCATTTATATCTTGGCTAGCGTTTGTTCTGCTGGCTATTATCACAGTTGTACTATACATGCTACCAGTTAGGTAAGATTGTGCTGCTGCAGCTAAAATAACTGTTGTACTGTACAAGATACCAGATAGGTAAGATTGTACTGCTGACAATTATAACTGTTGTACAGTACATGCCACCAGGTAAGAAAGATTGTACTGCTGGCTATTGCCACTCTTGTATTGTACAACAAGCTGCCAGTTAGGTAAGATTGTACTGCTGGCTATTGTCACTCTTGTACTTGTTCCAATTTAGATCAGACTTTGTTTTTTATAAAATGAATCAATAATACCAATGCAGTGCTTGGAACTTTTAAGCTGAACACATTTAAAAGTTCTCGGCTGTAAACCAGGATCCCGTTTTTAGATTACTACTGATCCTATGTGGTTTAAACAAGTTTATTTAGGTTACTACTGATCCTATGGGGTGTAAACAAGTTTATTTAGATTACTACTGATCCTATGGGGTGTAAACAAGTGTATTTAGAATTTAGATTACTGCTGATCCTGTGGGGTGTAAACAAGTGTATTTAGATTACTACTGATCCTGTGGGATGTAAACAAGTGTATTTAGATTACTGCTGATCCTGTGGGGTGTAAACAAGTGTATTTAGATTACTACTGATCCTGTGAGGTGTAAGCAAGTGTATTTAGATTACTGCTGATCCTGTGAGGTGTAAACAAGTGTATTTAGATTACTATTGATCCTGTGAGGTGTAAACAAGTGTATTTAGATTACTACTGATCCTGTGGGGTGTAAACAAGTTTATTTAGATCACTACTGATCCTGTGGGGTGTAAACAAGTTTATTTAGATTACTACTGATCCTGTGGGGTGTAAACAAGTGTATTTAGATTACTACTGATCCTGTGGGGTGTAAACAAGTGTATTTAGAATTTAGATTACTGCTGATCCTGTGGGGTGTAAACAAGTGTATTTAGATTACTACTGATCCTGTGGGATGTAAACAAGTGTATTTAGATTACTGCTGATCCTGTGGGGTTTAAACAAGTGTATTTAGATTACTGCTGATCCTGTGAGGTGTAAACAAGTGTATTTAGATTACTATTGATCCTGTTAGGTGTAAACAAGTGTATTTAGATTATTGCTGATCCTGTGAGGTGTAAACAAGTGTATTTAGATTACTGCTGATCCTGTGAGGTGTAAACAAGTGTATTTAGATTACTACTGATCCTGTGGGGTGTAAACAAGTCTATTTAGATCACTACTGATCCTGTGGGGTGTAAACAAGTTTATTTAGATTACTACTGATCCTGTGGGGTGTAAACAAGTGTATTTAGATTACTACTGATCCTGTGGGGTGTAAACAAGTTTATTTAGATTACTACTGATCCTGTGGGGTGTAAACAAGTTTACAAAGAAGTTGATAAGACCTCAAGCAATCAACAATAACGAGCTGGTCGACTTCATCTCAAGGGTACCAGACAACGAGGAACTGGTAGGTAGGGGTAGGCAGCGTGGCGGGGGGGGGGNNNGAAGCTTCGAGGATCGATTGGGCGAGTTTAAAGGTTTTCCGCAAGGGGTGGATGTGGGGGGGGGAATATTTGGACTAATCTTCCGTTATAGTTACGACATCTACTAGCTAGGATTGTGTATTATTTAGTCCATCCTATAAAGTGAGTTTATTTTCTGTATTTTAGAAAAGAAGGCAATCCATTTAAAAGGGTTTATTTGAAAAAGAAATAAAGGAGAATTTGCTGGGGAATGACGACAGTAAAGATATTAAAGAGGGGAATGTTGTTTAATATTGTTTTTTGTTGCAAACTTATCAAAATGTTTTTAGGTTTTTATATTTTTAGAAAGATTTCCGAGAAATAAGGGAAGAAAATGAACAGGATAAAAAGAGATTACAGAAACTTCCAACTAGAGACTCGGATATTATTTAGAGGGGGAGGAGTGAAATAACCACGCCCCCAAAGAAACCATCAGACAGCTGACGGAATATTAAGTGACCATTCACTTGATCACAAGATGTCGTCAGCGATTCACAACAGTGCCTTGTAGAAACTTATATCCATCGTTTTTCATGTCGGATGATGATTTAAGGCTTTTCTGGATTTCTTCTGCACAGACAAGCAAGAAAACACCAGAGAATATTCGCATTTACATTACAATTGCTTTTTTAAAACTCAAGCATTTAAAACATCTAAAATTATATACATTTAGATTGTAAGAGTTTGTACTTTTGCAACCACCTTTTTCTACCTCTAAATTAAATCTTTTATATTTGAAATATAAAATTGAATTCTTTTTTAATTTCTTCTCTTTAGCTAACTCTCTGTGTTGCGCAATTTTAGAGAATTGCTATCTATTCCCGATAATAAATAAATGACAAGGTTAAGTAACGTAAATCTTTATTAATAAATACAATCTTCTTAGAAAGGGTTCCGATCAGTTCACAGATTGATAACAGCACAGCGGTTTCAAAAACTAAATAAACATAATGTTAGTGTATGTAGCAAATTTGAGCAATAACTTTGCTATATTAGCAATGTTTGCAGTTAAGCAATACATGCTTAACCCAACGCAGGGTTAGACTCGTGTATTAGTAATGATGGCTAACCTAAGATTAGACTTCACTTATTGTGTATCAATAAAAGCAATAAATGTGCTTTTCGCTTAGCTTCTCAGCAATATAAGTGAAAAGTATCTCTTTAGGACTCTGTAGACTATTTGTATTCAGTCTAGATAAATGTTAGGGAATTCTAATTCATGACAATCACCCTATTATCCCATGAACTATCAGTCATGGACTTAATTGCTATTAAATAGCAATAATTGTGTGTTATCCAATTACACACTAAATCAGCAATTAAACTTAGTTTATGGCAATAAGTTTGCTTTTACTTTATTGGAGCAATAATCTTGCCCAATAAAACGGTTAATAGGAACTAGTCCAAACTGAGCAATTTAACTCTATTTTGCTTCTATTAAAGCAATCAGTTGCATTAAATGCATTACTTGGCAGAGAATAAAAAGTTTATCCTTACTTGTTTCGCTGATCGGGGTTGAACAGAGCTAGGGTAGATCCAGCAGGGTCTTGAGCAATAAGTTTGCTTAAGGAGAGCAATAAGTTTGCTTAAGGATACTGCTGAACCGATATAAACCACAATGCACGCTCACGTGCACGCTCACGGTTGCTCAGATCCGCCGATTTCACAAACTAAATCCAACTGGTAGTGAGACCAGATGGCCAAGAGTACTGCACAGAATTTAGTGCAAACTGGTTTAAAGTTGTAAACAAACAGTAAATAAACAAACAGAATATATAAAAAATATTGAGAATATTATTATTCAGAACCAAATCACGAATTTAATCAAGCTATTTATGGGATTGCTCTAACCTTACAAATTCGCTAAGGGACTGTTCTCAATTTACAAACCGTGTTCCAACAACATTTAACAAATTATTGAGAACCATTAAATAAATTACACAACACTCTGCTACATTTTATTTTGAAATTAATTCATATGCATCTAGATTAAAACGTTTTATCAAATTATGAAGAAAAATTATTTAACCTATCAAACAATGATCTTTTGTATAATTGTAAATCCTACACTGCATAATTTAGAACAAAATATACTTTTTGTATTATAAGGAATAGGGCTGAGCCTCAATTAACTGATATAAATCGAATCTTATTTATATTACATTTTCATTCATAAAAGGAATTGAGTTTTTGCCACAACTTCAGATTTTCTAATCCCTATATCTAGCAACTAGATGTCGTAGACTTTAGATATTTCAAACTATAAATTCTGTTAGATCAAATAATCTAGGTTTGTGGCAACTACTTAATTGCTTCTTGATTATTGTTAGAATTTGACTTGTTACATTCAAAAAAATCTTCAATCAGAATCAGAAATGTTTACATTTCTAAAAAGTTTTCTAAAAGAGTCATTTAAGATTTTTTCTTCGACAAATCCGAAGAAGCCATGAGCAGACAACCAGTTGAAAATTGTTTAAAAAGGTAAAAATGGTTAAACAAAAATATGAATCGATAAAATTTATTAATTAAAATAAAACTATTTTATTTGAAAAAAGATATTGTTTTCTTCTAAAAAATGTGAGGATGACAGAAGAGGGGCCCAGGTTGCAAACCTAAACAAAACAATTGGAAAAAATCAAAAGAGAAAGAAATGTTATAAAAAGAAACGTGGACCAGAAATTGACAATATTTCCTTTCTTGTTTTGGTAACAAGTAAATGCTTGGAGGTGCATGGCATTACATATTCATTGCTCAATTTTTCAAAGCCAGCTTTTTCTTTACAGTTTCAAGATGATAGTGAGAATAATGAGATTGATAGATCAACAAAAAGGGGGGGAAACGCCTACCCCCCCCCCTCCCAGTAATTTTAGCGTTAAATTGTTTCTTACTTGTTAAAAGAAAGCTTAGCCGAAGGAATAAAAAGATCATCCCTTGCACTGCTGTGGAACTCTTTTACACCAGCTGGTTTTGTGAACATGTCTCTTGGAGCTTTGTGTACTGTATACATATCTCTAGAAGTAGGTTCTTCTCTGTACATAATAATATCTTGAATTGATGTGGGTGCTGCGTACTTTTTGGTATGTTCTTTGGAGGGTTTGTACATGTTTTCTTCTGGTAAGGGTTGTACTGTGAACATGTTATTTTCTACTGAGGGTTGTACTCTGTATATGTTCTCTTCTGTTGAGGGTTGTACTGTGTGCATGTTCTCTTCTACTGAGGATTGTACTGTGTACATGTTCTCTTCTACTGAGGGTTGTAGTTTGTACATGGCGCCTACTGCAGTACTGTGCGTATTGTCTCTGACTGGTGGCAACACCTTGAACCTATCTTTCTGATCTAAACTAAAATCAGAAAATTTAAAATTCTGTAAATTCTGTAAATTCTGTAAATAAATAAATAAATTATGTATTCATTTCAAGAGATAAAGAATAAATTTAGTAATGGCCGAAAACAGGGAGAATTATGAAAATGATCTTAGCTAATGCTTTATTTCTTGCCTTGTCTTTGAAATTTGATATCGGTAAATCTATTTTCTTTATAACAACATCAAATACACATTGATGAAATGTCGTCTTTCTATTCCAGGGTTTTATGGGTCTCATATTGTAAAAGAAACTCAAAAGCCATTTAGTCGTATTTAAAAGATTCATCATATGACTCCCTTAGCTTAAACAAATAATATTTTTTTTTGTCTCACCCTTCATCGAGGAACTGTGAAGGCACAGAATGGAATTCATTTCTGGAATCATCTGAGAAAAAAATAATAAAACTTATAGAGGCTGGACTCCGTTATGATTGATGTTCAACGCCATAAAATACACAGATTACTGTATTTTGCTTTCGCTTACAGATATTGTTGAACAATAATTCTCTAAAACTGCTATAGAGAGACAAATATAAAGAGGAAGAACAAAGATTACATTCATTCAACGGTTTTCTGTTTTTTATTGTACTAAAACCACTAAAATATCTTTGTGAAAACGTACAAATGTACAAATGTACCTGTAAAATCTACTGAGTAAGGAGAATGATAGAAATCCTTCGATCTAAAAGTATTTTAACAATTCTAAATACATAAAGTATAAATAAAACGAAAAATCTCATGTGTTTGAAATTAATTGTAAATGCAGTTTGACAGTTTAATGAAGACCAGCTTGTGATATTGAATATGTATGAATTATGTATGACAATAGTCGGACATACTAAAACCTTTTTTAAAATACCATTTATACTTATTTGATATTGTTCTTGAAAAGTGTCACGTTTTTAGGGAAACACTTTATTTCTAGCTTTCTGAGTATTTATTTATTGTTAAAGGTTTCCTAATTTTTTGTAAAAATTTGGCTCTTCTTTGTTTTTTCATTGATTTCATCTTGGTGTACTGGGGGAACTGAAGAAGCATTTGACTTGGTCGGAAGTCCTCTTCGTTGGAACTCAATGTCGTCTGCCAGGGAGGTCGTCTAGGGTAGATCTATAATATTTAAACATCATTGTAAACTCTAAGCAACGAACGTGACGTCTCTTGACATTTGTGGAAGGGGGGAGAATATTGTTACTCCCCCTCCCTTTCTGAAATTTTGAAACCATTACGAAAAAGTATTAATTAGACTTTGGTGTTTTACAACTTTCTTTTGTCATAGATGTGGCAAGGGGGGGGCTATGCAGCTCAACACCCGGCAACCCCCCCCCGCCCCTAGAAAGCAAAAAGTTTAAGCCCTCCTTGACAATTTCCTGACTACGCTCCTGGATATTGCACTGGAATTTTAGTTTGATTTGAAGACAATTGTTGAATTAATTTATGAAACCAAAAAGATAAGAAGAAATTTGCATTTATCCAGAAAACCTTACTCAAATTTTATTAAATGCATTGTTGCTAATTAAAATAAAACTATTTTATTTGAAAAAAGATATTGTTTTCTTCTAAACAATGTGAGGATGACAGAAGAGGGGCCCAGGTTGCAAACCTAAACAAAACAATTGGAAAAAATCAAAAGAGAAAGAAATGTTATAAAAAGAAACGTGGACCAGAAATTGACAATATTTCCTTTCTTGTTTTGGTAACAAGTAAATGCTTGGAGGTGCATGGCATTACATATTCATTGCTCAATTTTTCAAAGCCAGCTTTTTCTTTACAGTTTCAAGATGATAGTGAGAATAATGAGATTGNCATTATCATCATCATTACCAGTAATATTATTGTTATCATTATCATCATTATTATTTGTAGCTATCATTATTATTATCATTATCATTATCATTAACATTTTCATTTTGATTATCAATATCATTATCATTATTGTTCTCATTATCGTTTATTTTTATCATTTTTATTATTCTTATTGTTTTCATTATCGTTATTATTATCTTATAATTATAATTATCATTATTATTCATTATCATTTTCATTTTTATCTTTATTATTGTTATCATATTTATTATTATTATTATCATTATTACATTAAGAGGAGGTGATGGGTTCTCTGGTTGAAAATATGGTGGAAATTTGAAGAGCCAGGGATTACTGATTACATGTCTTTTATCACAAGATACTAACATTACTCTGACATGTACAAGAAATATATGCTACAGTGTGCTGAACACGTTCACATTGACCAAAGTTCATTTCTTTCAATGTTCTAACCTTGGATGTTTTAAAACTTAACTCCTTTTTTTGACTAGCTTTTGATGAAATCCTTAATTGCTACGGGTTGTAAAATAAAAGCTTGAGGAGTTACAAGGTCTCAAAGTTGTGCCAGTAATTCTAGAATTGTAAAAAAGTATGGTTGTCAGGGATCTAGAGAAATATTTTATTTTGATATTGATAACTCTAACTCTTGTAATCTCAAGTATCTATTTATTTTTATATTGATAACTCTAACTCTTGTAATCTCAAGTATCTATTTATTTTGATATTGATAACTCTAACTCTTGTAATCTCATGTATCTATTTATTTTGATAATTATAACTCTAACTCTTGTAATCTCATGTATCTATTTATTTTGTTCAATGCTTTTAGATATTCTCAGGGGAAATATTTAAATTATTTCAAAAAGCATTTTCTTCAATTTTCTTGTTATGAATATTTCATTAAACTAAAAGTAATTTAGAGCAAACTTTTAATGTAAATTTGTATAATTGCTTGCTTAAAATCTGCTTTTACATGCTCAAAGAGCTACCGAAAATTCTCCAAAATGTAGGGACTGAATATTTGCAAGCAACTATTACTTTTCAACTTGATGTCGTTGACTTTGATATTTCAACCTATGTATTCTGCTAGATCTAATAAGCTAAAGTTTGAAATACTAGCCTTAGAGGGCGCTTCGTGCCCATCTTCTAAATTAATTGTGGACATGTTCTCTTTGTGTACATCGTAAAACAAAACAAAAATAATTCGTGGATTTTCACAAAAAATTTCGTGGATTTTCAAAATTTTCAAAAATATAACGAAGGTCGAATTTTGATGGAGACAATTATTTGAAATTTTGATCATTCATAAACCTTCCCTGTGGTCCCTAGATGTCCCACAAAAAATTTGGGCCCGATCGGTTCAGCCGTTTTGACGTTTATTGGATACAAACAAACAAAAGACGCCCAAACAGACAAGCCAAATTTATATATAGATAATAAATATCATCATGATGTTAAGAAAAAGATGTTTATAGAATATTAGAGTTTGAGACCAGTGTTCATTCATAAGAAAACACTGCTACTGCTGCAGTTATACTTTTATTATTAACATTTTATGTTAGTGTTCCTATTGATCTCGTTTATATCAGCTGATTGAAGTTTCATAATCTCAGGGGCGGGGGTACCTAAGTATATTTATTATAAAGGCTGTTAGGCATTTTCCCAAAGGCAATTTCCTAAGGGTGACTTTTCAAGTGATAATTTCCCAAGTGGCAACTTTCCAAAGGTTAGGTTATGTCTTCATAGGCGCCGCAGGCCGAGTTCTGCGGCTAGGGTTGGGAAGAGGATCTAGTGCTGCGGTTAGAATGGGCTAAGGGCTGAGCGCTTCGGATAGGGCGACTTAGGAAGTTGCCGATTGGGAAATTCTACAATTGGGAAGTTGCCACTTGGAAAAAAGGATCTATGAAGTCACAAAATGCTTTAATTGTCAAATTGTTGATCAGAAAAGGTAAAAAGGCAAAAATAAATTTAGACAAAATTCTGTTTAAAGTTCTGGATTGTTTTTATTCAACAAAAACTACTTTTTTTATTTAAATCAGAATCTCAGCGAGTTTCAAATAAAAGAAACAATCTATATTCAAATATTACAGGTCTATTATCTTTGACCATGAATATCTTAAAATTTACAAATATGTATTTACACAATATCTTACCTAGTACTGCTGCAGTGTGAGTTATTATGCAAGTTAAAATACATTCTAATATTTTCATCTGAAAATAAAAAAAATTTCAATAATTCGAAAAAAATCAGAACATTTTTTACAAAATCTAAACAAATTTAAATTTAGAAAACTTGAAAATATTTACTTGAAAGATTCTTGAAAGATTGTTATGAAAATCTCGAAACAAAAGTGCGATATGTAGAAAACCATTTTTTTCCTCTTACAAATATTGACTACATTTACAGACATATTGGATAGAAATTTACATTGTACTAAGTTGTGAAGGAATTAACTTTATGCCATAAACTAAAACTTTCTAATCCCTTTATCTTTGCATCCTGATGGTGTTGACCTTTGGTATTTCAAACTTAGATTATTTGATCTTACAGAATATATAGTTTGTAATATCTTAACTATCGGGTTGCAAAGATAAAGGGATTAAAAAATGGGAGTTTGTGGCAAATACTTAATTCCTTGATAAATTAGAGTTAAGTATGTTAATATTGCCAATTCGACTATTAGAGTTAAGTTAATTCGACTATTAGAGTTAAGTTTTTCGACTATTTCTCACTGTTTATCAAATCCAACCTTTGATCCCTTTGAATTAATATATATATGGGTTTATTGATTATAAATCCAACCTTTGATCCCTTTAAATTAATATATATATGGGTTTACTGATTATAAATCCATTTTATTTTAACGTTCACTCAATTTAAGTTTATGTACTCTGTGTAAACGTTGCAAAAAAATCATTTAACTTATCATATGTTGTGATAATTAGTTTTGAATTTTCAAAGTTGTATTGATTGCAAATTGAAAGAAAAGAGATAAATCACATTTGGTATAATTGTTAAAAAATTTATGGTGTTGAAAATTGAAATTCTATCTCGGCTCTGCGAATATATTTTCATTATATGAAAACGAACAAAGACAAAATACCAGCTTAAAATACCAGCTCAAAACACCAGCTCAAAATACCAGCTTAAAATACAAACCCACAGCACAGACGTGTAGAAGCAACAAAACGTATGATATAAGAAATATAAGATCTAAGCATGAAATCTGTTGTTCTTTGATATTAAACTAAGTCTCCACAAAGCAAATGATATGTATCCTATTGCAATAGCATTAAAGTTCAACTTTGTGAGCTTTTATTTCAAAATCTTTTGTTTAGCTTGATCTAATTAAACTGGTCTAGCTCTAATTGCGCTCTATGTTAGCTTGATCTAATTAAACAATAGTCTCTTATTGCGCTCTATGAATGATAATATTTTCTAAGACTATTCTATTAAATATACCATATCTTTAAATATACCATATCTTTAAATATACCATATCTTTAAATATACCATATCTTTAAATATACCATATCTTTAAATAAACCATATCTTTAAATATACCATATCTTTAAATAAACCATATCTTTAAATATACCATGTCTTTAAATAATATACCATATCTTTAAATAAACCATATCTTTAAATATACCATATCTTTAAATATATACCATATCTTTAAATATACCATATCTTTAAATATACCATATCTTTAAATATACCATATCTTTAAATATACTGTATCTTTCGAGAATAAAATCAATTAAATGATAAAAAAGTGCAATAGTAGTGAAGAGGTCGAAAAGGGAGTTTTCACTTTTAAATTCTTAACTTGTGTAGATTATTTACAATAAACTAAACTTTAACGTCCATTTTCTACATAGAAATCTAATTTTTGAATACAAATTTAAAACACTATATTTGCATCTTTTATAAAAATTTATTTTTTTCGTAGGTTTCTTTTGAGTTTAGAAATTTTAACAATTATAAGTATTGATAAAGTTGTCCAGAGTCCGGATTTTATTAATTTGAGCCGCGTCTCAAATCCGCCAAAAACCGGTTTCAATTTAGCGCCGGCTTAAATCTTGAAACATTAAATAGAATTTTAAGTGGAACCAACCAAATTTAGGCCGCGTTTTAAATTGAAACCGCGGCTAAAATTCTTTAAATTCGGCCTCTGGATGAACTTATTTATGCTGAATGTAATAAGCCCACTTTTCTCTAATCCCCAAGTGTAATTAAAAAGTCTAACTTTGTAGTTTTCGATGCCTATTTCAC